AGGAAGGCACCTTTACGCTACGGGCTACGTGATTCGTAGTAATATCTTGTACTGGCAACAATGAGACGAGACGGCGTGAGCGAGACCGTGCAGCTGAGACATAGTCGAGCGTCGAGGACAGATATAAACTCCTATGGGGCACTCAGTGCGGCGGTATACATCAAGCGAACGATCACATCTTGATCATTCAGCACTTTCGCCCCACAAAGTAAACAACCGCGAAAGTCCTCCACCCCCCCTCCGCGACGGCGATGATTGACTACATCGTCACCTTACCCATCTCATGTAAAACTCGTTTTAGCAGCTACGACAACCACCGCCCTTGTAAGCCGTCGAGCCAGTCAGGACAATTCAGCGGTTCGGCAGTATCAACTTCAGTCTTCGCCTCCAGGATATCGTACCTTGCCGCGCGAGCTGAACTTCGTCGGCAGCACCATTTGCCATTCTAGCAAAAGATAACGAATCTCTTTGACGACATCTCCCACTTTCGCCGGGTGTGATGTCATAGAGACCACGACACGATGAAGGTACTCTGTGTGGCAGAGAAGCCTTCCATCGCGAAGAGTATTAGTGGTATCTTGTCGTCTGGTGGAGCAACATCTGTGAGTCTGCCTCTCTTTTGATTTTCGCCTGATTTTGCTGACTAGTGCCGTCTGGATTCGACATCCATGCAGCGAGTCTCGCCTCATCGTTACATCAGGAACTATGACTTCCCCTACAATCTTCCTCCTCCATTGGGACCTAATCACGGCGACGCGGACATTACTGTAACTTCCGTTTTGGGACATCTGACGTCGAGTGTAAGCAGGATCGTATGTTAATCAAGCGTCTTCACTGGTCTGATGGCTTCTTATCTATACATAGGATTTCGCGGAACAGTATCGAAAGTGGTATAGCTGCGAGCCATTTGCTCTGTTCGAGGCACCAATCAACACTTACATTAGCCAAGTGAGTTGTGCTTTTCCGGCTTTTACAGGGATAACGAGTCTGATACGAGTTACACCACAAAGGACCTCAAACAAGTCGAGCGAAATCTACAGCAAGAAGCTCGACGCGCCGATATGTTGATCATTTGGACAGATTGCGATAGAGAAGGAGAACACATCGGTAGCGAGATCGTGAATGTCTGTCGGCAGGCCAACAGGAACATTCGAGTCAAACGAGCCAAATTCAGTGCTATTATTGCAGCGTCAGTCTTCTTATTGTGCTACATACTGAGAACCAGCATAAACCCTTCTTGATTTCATTTGACAGGCAAATCCACAATGCGTGTCGAAACCCTGTGGAACTGGACATGAGGCAAGCGGATGCCGTGGATGTCAGGATTTCGCTTGATCTTCGGGTTGGAGCGGCTTTCACTCGACTGCAGACTATGGGATTGCAAAATCGGCTGCCTGATCTTGGGCAAAAAGTCATCAGCTATGGTATGTGCGATGCGTTCAGGATGCCTCAAAGGCCTTACTAATCTATACCATGACTTCAGGACCATGCCAGTTCCCCACTTTGGGTTTCGTTGTCGATCAGTACGAACGCGTACAAGCGTTTGTTCCCGAAACATTCTGGTACATTTACGTCGAACAGCAGCGACCGGAAGGAGTTATCAAATTCAACTGGCGAAGGAATCACCTCTTTGATATGGCCGCCGCTATCATCCTGTACGAACAATGCGTCGAGCAGCCCGAAGCTACAGTACGGTCAGTGGTCACCAAGCCTGCTACGAAATGGTATGTCCCGCGACAGCTTTGCATTGAGACTTGGCTTACAATTCGTCACTCGTAGGAAACCTTTGCCATTGACAACCGTAGACCTACAAAAGTCAGGTTCACGGTTGCTTCATATGGCCCCAAAGAAGGTTCTAGACGTACGTGCAAAATTTTGGAAGCAGAAGTTTGATGCTCACTGAGGTTTGCTCTTATCGGACAGATCGCAGAAAAACTGTATCAGCAGGGTTTCCTCAGTTACCCCAGAACCGAAACCGACCAATTCGACAAGGATTTCGATTTCAATCATTTAATTCAAAAGCAACATGTGGATCCTGGTTGGGGTGCCTTTGCTCAAGGGTACGTAGATCGGCCGAAAACTCTCGTTCGACGTTGCGCTTGCTCATTTTCATGTTGTTCAGATTAACCGACGGTGGCTTCCAAAGACCCAGAAACGGGCAGAAGAATGATAAAGCGCATCCGCCAATTCATCCTACCGCACATGCAGGTACCCTCCAAGGTGACGAAAAGAGGGTGTACGAATTTGTCACACGCAGGTTCCTGGCTTGTTGCTCTACCAACGCCGAGGGAAAGAGCACTACGGTTGAAATTGACATCGCTGGAGAGTACTTCTCCACTGCTGGTCAGTCCTTTCCTAAGCGGATCTCCTCGTTTCTTGTCGCTTACACAGTCCTTTTGGTCACGCAGGTCTGGTTATCATAGCCAGGAACTACTTGGAAGTCTACCCTTATGATAAGTGGTCCGATTCGATCGTGCCAGACTTTGCGCAAGGCGAAACTTTTATTCCAGCTGTTTGCGAGATGAGGGAAGGCCAGACGTCCAGGCCCAATCTGCTGACCGAAGCTGATTTGGTAGGATTGATGGACAAGAACGGTATCGGTAAGCATGCGGTTCAGTTTTGCCGGATGGCAGTTTGCTCAACTTGTCCTGCGTCTTTCCAGGAACGGATGCAACCATTGCGGAACATATCGCCAAAATCGTCGAAAGAGAATACGTAGTGGAGAAGCTAGACGGTAGAACGAAATACCTTGTCCCTTCAACGCTCGGCATCGGCCTTGTGGATGGTTACAATCAAATTGGCTTCGATCGATCGTTGACGAAACCTCATCTCAGGCGAGAGGTATGTACTGGGTGGCTTCCAATGGGTAACAACTGCTAAAACGCTCATATGAACAGACCGAGCATCGTATGCAATTGATTTGCGATGGTCTAGAGAGTAAACGGGACGTGTTGGAAGCCAGCTTGACGCAATACCGCGAAGTTTTCATCAAAGCAAAGCGAGATTTCGAAACTCTTTATAACGTAAGTTTCTCGATTGGAATTTAGCGGACGTGCCACTCATAATGTGGCTCGCTGAGTAGAGCGTGGCTCGAAGCATGGGAGGCAGAGGGATACAGGCAGGAGACGTTGCTCGACGTCCGCCGCCTCCAGGCGGACGAGGGAATGGCGGAAACGGGGGTAACAATGATGACGATGATGGACCGCCTTCCGATGGTGGGGGCGATGAAAGGCCTCCCGGGGCACCGGCGCCCAGAGCTAATGGCAAAGGAAAGGCAGGTGGTAAACCGACTACAGCCAAGGCGACAAAAACGAAAGCGGCTACTGCGAAGACTGCCACTGCCAAGAAAGCAACAAAAGCCAAGGGAAAGGCGAGTGCTGTAGAGGAACCTGCTTCACACCGGGGTAAGTTTCGCCGCTGACATACACCTTGGATGTATGTCCTGACACTAACCTTGTAAACTTCTTACTATAATCTAGTACCCAACGGTAGTGGCGGTGGCCCCAGTTCAGGATCTGCCATGTTGCAAGCTAATGGCTCGGCAGGTGCCTCAGCATCCACCGGCGCAGCAATGCTCTGCAAATGCGGAGATGCTGCAGTACATCGCACGGTAGTCAAAGAGGGCGCTAATAAAGGCAAAGGATTTTGGGCTTGCGCGAAAGCCATGACTGATGCCACGAACTGCAAATTCTTCGTACGTAGCATCCTCCCAGCTTTGCGCCGCGTACGAGCTGACAGGCGAATTGCAAAATTAGGAATGGGATCAACCGCTTGCAACGACTACGCCAACGAAACGAGCATTGCCTCCCAGCGATGTGAGCCAAGGAGTTGCAAATTCTCAAGCAAAAGCCCTTCGGGGACATAGGCTAACTTCCTCTTTTGCAGATAACGAACCGTCCAACGCAACGTGCCAAAACCTCGCATGACACTGACGAAGCAAATGGTCCCAAACGATTCTGCACCTGCAAACAGGAAGCTCTTCGATGGACCGTCCACAAGGAGGGACCGAATTGTGGCAGAGCGTTTTACAAGTGTCCCAAGCCGCAGGGCGAGCAATGCGAATTTTTCGAGGTCGGTACATTCGAAACTTGATATGTGCCACACGTACTGATCCTTTGACACGTAGTGGGAAGATGAGCCTAAGTCGGAGAGCCCTGCGGCGAGGAGAGCCCCTCCTCCTGCCAAGGCGGGTGAGGGCAGATTCAGTGGGCATAGCCAAGGCAAACCAGGCGCGGGGGACAGCAGTAAGTCCTTCGTTGTATCATGGGATATTGATGCGAATCTTATCATGATTTTTTTTGGTCTATAGAGTGCTACAAGTGTGGTCGAAGTGGACACTGGGCTACCAACTGCGACTACGCAAACAAGGTCGAAGAAAGGGGCAAACCGTCCTACATCAAGAGCACCAGCAGAAGGAGGAGGTGTTAGTCAGCTTTTTTGCCGGAGTTGATCGCTCGTCGGAACCACATAGCTCCAACATCACTCAACCCCATTCTTCGCTCAATATTCGATTTCGTGCTCGATCCTGCAATGCAGTATTTTTTTTACCTTTGTATGATGATATATCGCGAACGTGGACGTCTTGGCGGACATATTCAATGCGATATATACTCCCTCACTGATCCCTGTTGCCGTTCGACGTCCTTCCCCCTTTGCTGTAGATATGCACACGCTTTTGCCGCCCAGATAGCTTTCGTAGCAGTGAACCAGTACAGTGCACAGCGGTTCGAGGTGTCTGCATTCAAGGTGACGGATTTCTTAAACACCCACTCATTCGAGACGCGAGACGCGCTTTCATCGAGGATTTCACTAAAGACTCGGGAGTTTGTTGGTTTCAACAATGGTGTACCAACACCCAGCAGAATGGCCGTCGCGTCTTGTCACTTCATATGTTAAGAATTTGCAAAAAAGATAGGCATAATATCAAGCCCATATGGCCGAGGGTAAGGCTCTTTGCGTGTAAGGATCAGTTTCAGCTTTAAAACGGCCAGTCTATCCAAGCCGGTATGGCCAAGTGGTAAGGCACTGCACTTGTACGACTTATTCCACAACGTGGTTAACAATACATGCAGCGATCTCTCGTTCGACCCGGGATGCTGGCTCTTTCTTTTTTTGCCCTTCTAGACCCCAGTTGCCTCGTTTGCTAGATGCGTGCGTTGTACGACATACGTCCCTCAGTAAAGCTTTCAGTAACCTGTTTCAGCCCTAGCTGCAGTAAAGGCCTCGGAACGCCTAGCTGATGGTCCTTCGTCCATGTACGTTGAAGTCCTTCAATGTCCTTCCTTTTGTTCTGCAGCTTTGTTCTGTGCTGGCTGTGATAACATGAACATGAACATTTTTATCTACTGGAGAATTGCGTTCTTGTCCGTTGCGGCTCATCTTGCGATCTCCCAGCTGATCTCCCCCAATTTACCACAGGCTTGTTCTCATCATTAGCATCCTGTTCGATCGATCACTTGTTGAGAAACCCTTCAGCAAGCTTACAACAGCTCTTACAGCAGTACTTTACAGGGCTCTTTACGTAACGAATGCGACTCACATTGTGCAGTCGGCGCAGTCGACGCCTACAGACTAGTAACCGGACTACCTCGCCTTTTGTCTTCCGCCATAGGAAGCTGGTTTTATTATAGCCAAGGTTGAGAGGTTGGATCATCAATTCAACACGATTCGGTCACACATGCAGCGGCGCAAGCGGATCAAGATGGTGACCAGTTCAGAGAGGTAGCTACGGCTTTCGAAACCAATACCGGACCCTGGATTCCAGAAAGCCCTCTCGTTCGATCCGGGGTGCGGGCACACCTATTATTTTATTCTATCTTTTGAAAAGCTTTTTGAACAAATTTCATTTCCCTCGTTATTTTACCTTTTGGGACACGTCTTCTTTGACTACGATCTTTTCTCCTTCTTTCGACGTGCTGGCTTTTTAGATACCGGCAGTCACTGGTACATAGTCTGCCCCAAAGGCAGAAGCACTGTGAGGAAGACTATAAGCGAGAACGAGCCGTCAAGACCGCGACTCAGTACACTCCAAGAGGGTGGCAAACTTGCGCCGCTCGCGTAAGCCATCTTTTCTTAAAGTGGTCATTTTGCGAGGACTGACCATTTGTTACCTTTCAGATCTAGCGTGGTGACATAGTTGGCGTAGTGTCCCTGAACCCACACCATGTCATGGCTCACGTACCAACTGGAAAACAAGTAAGATTCTCCCCGACTTCTTAACCGCGCCCGACATGAAATTTTCGATCTCGCCGCTCATTGGCTGTTTGGTCATTGACATCTTCCTCAGAGCAAAGATTCACAAGTGCGACTTGTATGCCCACATACTTGAGATTCCTGTACGCAAACAGGATTCAATATACGTCGATGTCGGTTGTTTCAGTAAGTAGCCATCAATGGCGAATCTTTTGTTGTGCCTACCACCGTGTTGTGCCTACCACCGTGTTGGGCTGCTGATCATCTTTTACGCTTCCTTGCTTCCTTGCATGATTTCCCGTTGTGCACGACAGCGGGAATCGACGCTCGTCGCATAGCATCAGACGGGTGGCCCGAGGACCAGATAATCGGGATGGAGGGCAATCCGAGTACGTAAGCGCCCTTGCGACTGACAAGACGAAACCAGCTGAACAGTGAGCGTTCCCTGTCGCTCAGAATGGGTTGAGCTGGGCTGGCAGCTCTTCAAAGACAGGGAAACGTCAAGAATCCATTTCGTAACGCTCGACATTATGGAAACAATCACAAGTTTTGAAAGTGCTTTACTACAAATTGCGCCTGACAAGGCTAAAACAATCAGGGTGGTATCGGCATTCGCATTCTTTCATCTGTTTACTGAATTAAAGCAGATACAACTAGCGAAAGGATTGTGGAATATGCTAGAGAAGCAGCCCGGCAATGTCATAGTTGGAATTCAAAAGGGCATGGACGTGCCGACTTTGAGAAACATACGAGAAGAAAAGCAGGGTCAAGACGTATTCTTTTGGTGAGTCGGCCTGAATTGTGAGACTATCGACTACAAACGCTGACATCCGCCGACAGTCATTCACCGACGTCGTGGAAATCAATGTGGCTCGAACATGTTGATGGCGAGCTCGAAGTAAAGGCCCATTTCGAAAGGACTAGCGGTGAATATGGACCAGGAACGTTACAAGACATGTATTGGAGCGTACGAATAACTTGACAGGCTTGTTATGTATATATCTACAACAGGCAATGCAACATGTACATACTACAACGCGCGGACCTCGCTCGGCTGTTCTGGCGTACCAAACTGACTCGGTAATTCGCTCGCGGGCACCGACTTTGCGTTTGAATTCTTGGTCTTCTTCGGCCTGGGAGCGTCCCCATCTGCGGGCGGACGTGGTGCACGCTTCTTACTTGGCTTTGCAGTATTATCTCCTGCCTCCTCACCCTCTGTCTTTCTTTTGACCTTCTTCTTGGATTTCGCGGCGCTGCCATCGTCATCGTCGTCGTCTCCCGTCTTCTTGTTGGAGAAGAAGCCATCCTCGTCGTCGGGATCCACTGGCAGAGTACTAGTGGCAAAGGTGGATCCAAAGCCAGCGGATCGGTTTCCAAACGTTGCAGGCACATCATTCGAATCGTCGTCGTCGTCCAGCAATAACGCTGCGATCTCCTTCTGGGCGTTGATCTCGTCCAGGGACTTGTTGCCAACAACAATGTCCTGGACATCCTTTTTATTTCGGGCGAGATGCAGCATCCTCTCGTCGACTGTCCCTCGACATATCAGTCGGTAAACGGTGACCTGGCGAGTTTGTCCGACACGATGTGCTCGATCCATAGCTTGTGCATCGTTTGAGGGGTTCCAGTCGTGTTCGTAAAAGATGACCGTGTCAGCCGCGGTCAAGTTGATTCCGAGACCGCCTGCACGCGTACTGAGCATGAAGATGAATATGTCCGGGCTGCGAGGGATCAAAACACAGTCAGTATCATGATAGCAACATGCCGCAGCTTATCGACGTACTTGGATTGCCAAGCGTTGACCATGTCTCTTCGATCAGCGATAGCGGTGCCACCGTCCAGCCTCAAGTATCTGAGTTGTCGATAGATAAGGTACTCCTCAAAGATCGACATCATTTTCGTCATCTGGAAGTAAATCAGAACCCGATGTCCACCCGCCTTGAGCTCTCGTAACAGACTATCCAGCCGGGCCATTTTAGCTGAATCAAAGATTAATCGCTTCATGCTGGGGAACTGCATAGCGGTCACCGGTTGTTGATCGCTAGAACTGTTTCGAAGCAGGCCAAAGGGCGGCAGATTCGGTAGAGACTTCTGAGCTCTGGCAACTATGGCCGGGTCGTCGGCCAAAATTGGCGGGAGGCCATAGAGTGCCAACTTGTCGAGCAGGGGGTGCTTCAGATTTTGCTGCTGAACGTAGAAGGATCGACTGGAGCATTCTGCACGGATCGGTGGCGCGACCACTTCCTCAAGTGTAAATCTGGCCTCTGTTCTGCTCAAGTAAGAGCGCTTCCAGTTGTGCAAAGTAATCTCGTTGGGAGACACGGCGTGATCCAAAACTAGTCGCTTCCGCAATTTGGCTTGAATCGAAAAGGGCGATGCAGGTGGGCTGCAAGGAAAGACTGATATTAGAGCCTGACGCGCCGCGGCTAACAAAGACAATCCGATGCGACTCACAGATCCAAAGCCGACTCGCATTGCCGCAAAGCCTCCAGATCTGATCTCATAAGCTGGACAATCGCTGGTTCTCGAGCCTTTCGGCTGAGATCAGAAATAGAATCTTTCGTGAGGGCGAGGAAGCTAAAGGCAGAGTCTGCAAGTCATAGAATAGCATATTCAGCAGTTGTTAAGGCTCGGTAAAGCCGGGAATCACTTACCGCTGTCTTTAAAAGACGCCACGACGTTGTCAGGAGACCAGATGTTCATGAGGTTTTGTAGGTATCTCGTTTCGAAGCCTGCTCGACCTTGTTCAGAAGGGCGTCTCAGGATTCCTCCATCCTCCCATAGTATTCTGGGCAATTGCACACAGATTGGATTCTCGCACGAGTCAGGGAGGTATAATGACTGTTCTCGCAGCAAATCACCACTTGAACTGAAGGTACTGAAAGACAACGGTGCTGTGACGTCGGCTCGCTCGAATAATTCGGGATGGTTGCAGACCTGGAAAAGACGAGTCTGTTAGCAAGCAAGATTCAGAACAGATCTCCTCGATAGCACGTACCTTTCTGAATTGCATCACCACATTCATCAATGCATTCCTCTTTGTTGAAGTATCAGACGTTTCCTTTGCTTGATCGAGGATTGCCTTTATGGATGCATTGGACCGTAGAGCTTTGTACATCATGTGTTGTCGAGGACTCAGGTTGACCAAAATGTCCTTTTCGATCTTTTCTCCCAGTTCGCTTTGCACGTTCCTCTTGACACGTCGAAGCATGAAAGGGCGCAAAACGTCATGCAACCGTCTGAGCTGCTGAGCTTGAAGCATGTCGTTCTTTCGGCCGGTTCCATCCTCAATACCTCGGGAGAACCATTGGGTAAAGTCTTGTAACGAGGTGAACAAATCCGGCATGATGAAATGCAGAAGAGCCCACAATTCTAAGGAAGCGAGGCGTCATTCAAAGGAAGTTCAAAACCCAAAACGAATGAAGAAGGCGTAACTTACCTCCCATGTTGTTTTGAATAGGGGTACCAGTCAAAAGTAACCGATTTCGGCTTTTCAGGCTCAGCAGATTCGTCCATCTCTGAGTGCCAGCATTCTTTACAGCCTGTGCTTCATCGAGAATCATATATTGCCACCGCACTTTCTTGAAGTACTGTGTATCCACGTTCACCTGAAGATGCACAAGACAACTCTTAATTTCTGACGCGCATCAGGACATCAGGAAAAACACTTACCATGTCGTAACTAGTGACCACAATGTGGAAAGGCGCGTCTTCCGTGAATGTCACTGCTGGTCGAGTCCATTCCCTTCGAATCACTTCACGATCCGCTGGCGTACCCCAATGCGGCAACACTTTCAGCCGCGGAGCAAATCTCGTAAGTTCGGCTTGCCAGTTGTGAACAGTGGAGGTCGGAGCAACAACAAGGAAGGGGCCCCAGATGTTGTGTGTTTCAGCCAACCAGGCAAGGAGG